GTTTCAGACCGTCTCATATCCAGGCCTTTCTAAAAGATCAATGCAGTTGAACCATCAATAAAGTTTACACTTGAACTCGAAAATGATGGCAAACTTCCTTTCCTCGACGTTCTACTGTGCAGATCTCCCGACAGTGACAAACTTCTCTTCAAAGTGTATAGAAAACCTACCAACAAGGACGATCTTATACACTTTTATTCACACCAAGATACCCGCACTGAGAGGAGTCCTCATTGGCTTCTTCTTGAGAGCTCTTCGCATCTCCAGCCCTTGTTTTCTAGAAGAAGAATGCGCTTACATAACACAAGCCTTTACACGTCTTCAGTTCCCATCTTTCTTCATCCGAGATTGCAGACTCAAGGCACAAGCTATCCTCAACAAACCGCCCATGGAACAGCCCCCTAAACAGTTCATAGTACTCCCATGTGGCGATGTTGCCACGAATACTCGCCGGGCACTTGCTATGAGTAACATCAACGTTTCCACCATAAACACATCCTCTATCAAAGACCTCACTACTAAACGCAGCCCCACACCTCTAACTTCTACAGCAGGCGTCTACACTATCCCCTGTGGGTTCTGTCCCAAGAAATATGTAGGCGAGACAGGCAGAGATCTTGCAGTCCTCCTGAATGAGCATCGAAATGCCTCTAACAGAGACGATGTAAGGTACGCCTGTGTCCTCCACAGAGACTCCACGGGGCATTTGATGAACTGGAACGAGGCACAACTCGTTCTCACTGAACCAGACCTCAGACGCCGACGGTGCCTAGAAGCCTCACTAATCACCGTCACCGACACTATAGAACGCAACACTGGAAACTACAAAATTTCAAAAACATTGGCATACATGATACTTAAGCAGCACCAACCCAACAACACAGGAGTCACGTGATTTCATCGTCTACCCTCGCCTCGCACGGGCCAGTAGGCCTTCTACAGTGTTCCTCCATTCTTATGTTCTTATGACATTCCTCAGGTCACGTGCGTCACATCTCACTCTCCGCCTATATATATAATGTCTTTCTACCTCTGTATGTTAGAAGTGATCAAGGTTCCAGGACCGAAGCGTTTTCTAATAAATAAGTTATAGTGTTTGCTTACGTGTCTTTCTAAACCAACTTGTCGGTATTTATTACCAAGGTTTATACCACCACTTCTCATACATTACAAGCTATCAATACATCAAGTCTTTTCATAAAGAAAAGCATTATACAATAAAGTTAACCGAGATCTATGAAGACCACTGACATGTATTCACAAAACAACTGAATTTAAAATTTCAAAAAAATATGGTGATAGCCCACATGAGAGTCCAAATTTTTGCTCTGCAAACTAGATTAGGTAATCACCATGCTAGTGATGACAGGGTTAAAATTTCTTATATACTGCTAAGAAGACCCAACAAATAGTGATGAAGATGGTTGGCAATATAAAAGTTCTCAGTGATATACATTGTGTCCACGAAGCATATATTACCCATAGAAATTAGATCAAACAATCATTAAGTAAGAAACATACAAATGACTAAAATGCACATTTGTTAGTATATCAAGTATACATTCAAACTTTAAAAAAAAAAAAAAAAAAAAAAAAGCCAGATTAAGAAATTAAAAGCTGCAAGGAAATTAAAGATGAAGCCAAAATGCTTCTTCCAGATATACAGGACTAAGATCTGAAAAAATATAGGAACACCTGTAACATAGGACAGCTTTCTGATAACAAATGTTTCATTTTTAACACATTCTTTGCTTCTTTTTCTTTCACAAGATACAAATAAAATCCTAGATAATATAAATAACCCAAGACATGAATATCACATGCAGCTACTTTTCTAGTCAGTCTTCTGGTGGCACTAACAAAACATTCACTTAAGTCCACATGATTTTCAATATCTCCAGGAATGCTGGTAAATATATAAATTTGTGGACTGCATATTAAATTAATAAAAGATTATATATATACACATATACATAACAGAAGGAGAATATCTTAAAATCACCCACCAATTTGACTGGAGATCAAGGTGCATCATACTCAGAAAACCTAACTGTGTATACATGAAAATAACACTGGCCAGAGTTATAACGTAAGACTTATCTGAGGTTCTCGGAGCTGTCTTGTCCAGTCGCCTGATATCTCAAGTTATGCAGGAATACACATCCAACAATTTCGCTTCCTGTTTGAGAGGTGTCAGCCCAATTTTACCTCTAGAGCACGAAAAACTTTTCCATTATTAACAAACGTTTTGTGTTGTCTCGTTCAAACATGGCGAGTCTCTTCTGCACAGGCGCAGAAAAATTTTCCCATTTTTTATAACAAATTTTATTAAATACAGTATGGCCATCTATTTACATATAACTACTGTATTTCTGGAAAAATATACAGTATTTTCAACACCACAAACAGATAATTTGTATGCGTTTATTTATTTTAATTATACATGTTTTTAAAGGGAAAAAAATTTATTTCATGTCCTTTTATTATGAAGTAGGTGACTTTCCCTGAGTGATGTAACGTTGGACGTAATGACGTTCACTGAACTAAAAATTTACTCTAGAAAAGTGCGTAAAGGTGAATATATGTAAGCTGAAAAAAACGTAAAGCGGGTATACTGTATATTGTACTGTTTACCATTCTGACCCTTTCAAATGAACAAGGTCTTGAGTGACCCAACAAGAGTATCAAAGTCCATAGTGCTACCTTCAGTAATGAAAGAAATTATAAGGTTATTAGATGGGACATTCTGCAATGAATAAAAAATAATTATTCACATACGTGCAGTACTTCTATTGTTTAGGTAGCTGTGTTTGCATCTTTTTTAAGAAACAAAGGCAACAGCTAAACAAAAAAGACTGAATTGATGTAACGAATATCCCTTTATAGGATATCTTCTCGATGAATCCTATTTATGCCTTTTGATAAAAGCTATTCCTGATGTCTACCATCAGTTAAAGATCTCTAAAAAATTCTTTACACAAAAATGCATACTCAAGAGTCACAAATTTCCTGGCCTAGTCAATAGTACAGATAACTCTATAGATATTTTGTGAATGGGTAAACCAAGTGAGATGTTACATACCTAATCAAGGTCAAAATAAAAATATAGTCTGATGCAAAGTATAAATTTTTTATGTATTGGTATCTTAATTCACAATATGTTAATTCTAAAAATTTCACTGCCTTTTAACATACCTGAAGCAAAGAGATTGGTAAACTGACATATTCCTGTTCTTTTCTTATATCTGTAAATTAAAATAACCAAAGTTAGAATAAAATTATTTATGCAATGGAAATATTTTTAATCCTGAAACAAAGTGACATATGCAAAGAAAAACTCAAAAGCACAATTCTCAAAAGAAAATTATATTTATCTAATTGCAAGAAATGACTGTAGCTATGAGGATGAGCAGTGACAATGAAATGTAAAAAAAAACAAATTAGTGCCAATTTCTGCAATGTAAGTCAAAAATACATGCACACTGATTAAGATACAGCCTTTCCTCACTTAATGATGGAGTTCCATTCCTAAGACCACGTCGGTAAATTGAATTCGTCGCTAAGTGAGGAGCATACTAAAAATGGTCGTGAGTAGTGCAACCACTTTGATATGTTTTAAAATGTTACCTTTGCACTCTTTATAACATTTCTGGTATATTTTTTTAAAAGTTTATACAGTAGTGCACTGTATACGTAATAAAGAGAATAAGAGGAAATCAGCTCTAATATACATTTAGGGATTCATACTAGTCAGAGAGAACATCATAAGTCTGAGTCATCAGTAAATAGTATGTTGCTAAATGAGGAGAGGCTGTATTTAGTAAATGCCTAGATCAAAGTATATGCATCATTTATCTTCAATCTGACAATGTCACCATGACAGTTCCACTGATTCCTGTGAAAAGTGATGCAAGTGACCATTTGTGATAGGCCGGTGAATGCCCCCCATGGGCCTATCCCTCTTACAGAATAAAAAAAAAAAAATCCACAGAAAATGTGCTATATGCAGTCACACAAAACTCTAACCAAGAAAAAGCAAAGACAACATACTTGTTATATTTGCGCTTTACATTTAACCAAGTTTCATAGATTACCACATCATAAAAATGAAAAACTCCTGTGATTTAAGATCGTAGATTATGAGGAAAACAATAAATAGCTGAATTTCACCCTAACAAGGGCCAGATCCCCAATCTGAGAATTGCTCTCAGGATCCCCAAAAATTAAAAAAAAAAAAATTGTTTTTCCCTTGTGAAATGACAGAAAATCTTTTTCTGAAGGTAATGAAACAAAAAGTAAGAAATTTGATGGAAAATTTATGGGAAATTATGCTCTTGCAAATTTAGTGGTCTTGGCGATAAAAACGCATAAACAATTTCGCCCACTTTGAATTCAATTTTAAGTCAATTCCTTTTGTTCCAGTGGACCAAACTTACTAGTATTCATTCCATTCTATTCACTGAGCACAAGAAACTGCCAATTTACCTGTTTCAACTACCCAAGGTGATCAAAAACTGGTAATTTTGTCCAATTTCACATAAAATTAAAAAAATTATCAATTTAAAATAGGGTCCAGAAAAAAATAATGTAGACATTCCTGGGACTAAAGTAACATTTCCTCTATTTATTAGTTATGTCCCCAGGGCCCCTCTTATATTAAAGCTTGCTTTCCATTTTTAATTTTTTACTCGTGCAAGAGCTAAACATTTACTTTTATGCGACTACTGCTTATTGTTATAATTGAAAAAATAATGTCAGTGCATTCCCAAACGCATTAGACAGACCCGCTGGACTCCTGGACGAGTGACGTAATTTTGTAAACAGTGGAATATCGGGAAAAATCGAACATTTCCAATACTTTTGAGCTCAATTTCAATCAAAAACATCTCTATTTCTGTAATGTATCTTCCATTCTATCAAATGAGACCAAGAAACCAAGAATACAACTATAAACCCATATGAAAATACACTGCAAAGTCACTATTTTAAACCCAACAATATGATCACAGTTTTTTCCCTCATTATGCACTGCATAAGGTAGGATATTTTTTGTATCTTAAAACATTAACTGCATTAGACCCATTCTCCGTAACTAGGCCCAAATTTACCGCCCACACTAATCTGAGTGAGCTGAGTTCGTCACTTTTTTATAAAAGCACTGACCCAGAGCTCAAAGCCACAGTACAGGAACACCAACAATTTTCCGGCACCTCTGGTTCCAAAACTTAGCCGGATTAATCGTTTTGCTGAACCAATCACTGGTACAGTGGAACCTCAAAAATCGAACTTAATCCGTTCCAGGAGCTAGTTCTAATTTCGAAGAGTCTGAAATTCGAATCAATATTTTCCATAAGAAATAATGGAAATACAATTAATCCGTTCCAGAAACCCAAAAATATTCACAAAAAAAAAATACATTTTATAGAGTACATTTTATAGACATTAATTACAGTTTTACATACATATAAAATAATATATACATATAATATAAAATATAAAATAACTTTTTTACTTACCTTTATTGAAGATTGGTGATGGCATCTGGAAGATAGGGAGGAGGAGAGAGAGGGAGTTGGGGTTAGTGTTTGGAAGGAGAATCCCCCTCCATGAGGACTTCAGGTAAAGGTCTCTCTGGGGTTACTTCCCTTCTCTGTCTTTTAATGCAACTAGGACCAGCTTGAGTGTCACTGGACCCCTGTCTTACAAAATAACTGTCCACAGTCCTCTGTTTCTGGCACCTCTTAAACATTTCCCTAAAATGGAACATGGTTCTGTCACTGAACTTGTTGCAAAGATGGCTTGTTTCAGCTTGCTCAGGGTGGTACTTCTGCACAAACATTTGGACATCATTCCACTTGGCACAAATCTCCTTAACCTTTGAAGAAGGCACCTCATCCACTCCCTCTTCCTCCTCCTCTGAAGCAAGTTCCTCAGCTGTGGTCTGATACTGCTCCAGATGAAGCTCTTGCAGCTCTTCAGTGGTTAGCTCTTCCCTGTGGTCCTCCACCAACTCTTCCACATCCTCACCACTCACCTCCATGCCTTATGATTAGCTTTCCACAAGACACACAACTTCTTCTTAAAGACATTGTTTTTCTTAAACACTCTGGAATTTTCTGAATGATACACAAGTAAAGGCTTCACTTTAAAATCACCACTAGCATTTGCACAGAACAAAAGAGTAAGCCTGTCTTTCATAGGCTTGTGTCCTGGCAGTGCCTTTTCCTCCTGTGTGATGAAGGCCCTTTTTGGCATTTTCTTCCAAAACAAGTCTGTTTCGTCACAATTAAACACTTGTTCAGGTTTGAATTCTTCAGTGTCTATGTATCCCTTAAACTCCTGTACAAACTTCTCAGCCGCCCGTTTGTCTGAACTGGCTGCCTCACCATGTCTTACAACATTGTGTATGCCACTACGCTTCTTAAATCTCTCAAACCAGCCTCTGCTGGCCTTAAATTCACTATCACCACTGGTTCCAGGAGTTTTCTGTACCAAATCGGCATGCAACTTCCTTGCCTTTTCACAAATAATCGTCTCTGAAACACTATCACCTGCAATCTCTTTATCCTTGATCCACACCAGCAACAACTTCTCAACCTCTTCAACTATTTGTGGTCTTTTTTTGGTTAGCATATTAACACCTTTCGCAACATCAGCTTCCTTGATTTGTTCTTTCTTTGCCAGAATAGAACAGTTGGTCGACTTGTTTTTCCCATACATCCTGGCAAGCTCAACAAGTCTCACACCACTCTCATACTTCTGTATTATTTCCTTCTTCACTTCTATGGTGTTTCTCACTTTCTTTACCACAGGGGTACCACTAGCAAGTTTCTTTGGGCCCATGGCAGCTTATTTCACAGTCCCAGAAGCACTAAACACAACGAAATAATCGTAAAATATGTGAATGAGAGCGCAGGTTAGTGTTCACTCAAGCATAAACAAAGCTAGACTGCTCACGGCGCCTGCGCAGGGACGTGGACAGAGCAGGCCAGCGGACAGGTCCCATACCCGGGGGTCCGAAATTTGAAACGCATTCGATTTTTGGTACACAGTTTGTCCGAAAAAACGGTCTTATTTTCAAAACGTTCGATATTTGGTACGTTCGATTTTCAAGGTTCCACTGTATACCTACACTATGACATAGAACTCGAAAGGGTTACAGAAATAACAGTGTACAAAAATGTTGTCAATACATCTGACTACTAGCCAAGAGTTGGCTCTCAACTTTCCAGCTTCAACAAATCATGAACAGCTAAGGATTCAAAATTTTCCCCATTTCCTTTTCTTTTGTAGTTTACATTAACAAAATGCCCACAGTTTAGGCATTAATAGCCACAAAATAGCACCAATGAGTGCTGTACTGCCATAAATACAAAGATGCATAATCTTAATTTTGTTTTCAGTAAACACTTCGAAAAGACAGTGACAAAATTAATGACAATGAGTATTTTCTTCTTAGAGTCACCGTGCCTTGGAGGAAGACAGATGTTGAGCTGAAAGAACATAATGACTTGTTATTTGCTACACACAAATTAAGTCATATAAGCATGGTATCTGCCTCAAATTACATGCATGTGCTAGGTTTGCAAAATATTAAAATACACAAAATACCTAATATTAATAAGAGTACAGGTCTCCCTCAACATTCGCGAGGGTTAGGGGATCAAGAGCCTTGCGAATGTTGAAAAACTGTGAATGTTTGGTGCCCCAATATATTGTAGGGAAATATATTACAATACTGCTTCCTTAACTTGTTGAACCATGAATAATCATAAAATACATGAAAACGTCGTAAATTGTACTAAATATATACATGTTATGCTTTAATAACGTATGTTATTTAATAACATGTATGTTAATAACATGTATGTTATTAAATACCACAGACTCCACCACTGCGAGTCCCTACTACCCTCCCTCCGACCCCTGCAACTGGTAGCCAGCCCTCCCACCACTCAGTGTGGTGAGTGTTTTGTTTGTTCATTATTTGTTATTAAACTACAGAATAAATAATGTAAACCCCATTCTTTGACTGCATTTGGAATGGCTATAGGAAAGGTATTAGACGGTGACATCATGTGTTTACTCTTAAAACACAGAAAAGAATCGAACATTTCTGCTATTGCTAATAAAAAATTAATAATAATAATAATAATAATAATAATAATAATAATAATAATAATAATAAAAATAAAAATTTAAAAAAATAATAAAAATAAAAATAATAATAATAAAAAATAATAATAATAATAATAAAAATTTAATAAAAAACGAAAATAATTGAAGAAGGAAATTGTACAAAAATACGAGGGAATGGTTGACACATCGTCAGTGACTATTTTTATGTTTGGAGTGAATATTAGTCCTCCCTGCTCTTCCAACATTTCCCCAATAATTCAGCGGTTGAGGCAGTGGTATTTCATAACACATGTGTTTAAAATAATAATAGTACATGTTATTATTAATAACATGTTTATTATTAAAACATGTATGTATTTAATAACATGTTATAAATAATAATATACATATTATTAATAACATGTATTATTTTTAACATGTATGTTATTAAATACCATTGCCTCAATCACTGCCTCAAACCACCCAGTCACACTCAGTCTACAAGCACCAAACACAATGAATTATTGTGAAATGTTTGGAAGAGCAGGGAGACTAATGTTCACTCCAGAAAAAAACAAAGTCACACTGACAAACGTGTCAACCACTCCCTCGTATTTTTGTACAATTTCCTTAAATTATATCATTATTATTATTATTATTATTATTATTATTATTATTATTATTACTATTGTTATTATTAGCTGAAGAAGAAATGTTTAATTTCTTTGAGTGCTCAAAAAGTAAACACATGATGTCACCGTCTAATACCTGTCCGAATAGCCATTCCAATATGCAGTCATGAATGGGTTTACATTATTTATACTGTAGTTTAATAACAAATAATGAACAAACAAAACACTCACCACACTGAGTGGTGGGAGGGCTGGCTGCCAGTTGCGGGGGTCAGAGGGAGGGTAGTAGGGACTCACAGGTGGCGGGAAACTTAAATATGATTTGGTGGCTGGGAATTTGGCAGTTGGGAATTCGCGAATGTGTGAAGCCCATGAAAGTTGAAAAACGTGAATGTTGAGGGAGACCTTTATTCTTGGTTATGATTGTGAATTATCTTAGTGTCACAGTTGACTTTATAATTGTTTAAGTACTTTTCTGGCATATCTCCCAGAAGCACAGTGCTGTGAGCATTTTAATTGTGACAATTCTCAGTTTTTGTATCAGATACCTCAGCTTTTTAAGCAGACACCTTCACACAACCAGAATAACATCATACATTCCTGCCTAAGGTTTATTTTTTCTTTGTAAGATAAAATTGGGCATGGTTTCTGAAAATTCTCACATTCCCATTTTTCATGAATATAATAAACATTAATGAATACAAAACTGTATCTCCACCTGCTTTCACCATCACTCTTTACTTCTATCCCAGCTGCTCTAATCATTTCCTCTGCATTCACTTCTGGTTCTTCCTTAAACTTAACTGATATACCTCACTGTTCCAAGCAAGAAACCATTGCCTCCCTTTCATATATAACTTGAATTCTCTCCATCTTTCCAATACCACCTTATCTCTCTCTCATCACCTCTTTCATTCTGAAGTGCCCAGTCAACTTTATTTCCCAGTCTCTGCATTACATTACACAGTATACTGAACTGCAAGATCAGATGCTCAATTCTGATATCCAGACAATTGTTACAATGATAACCAAGCACCTGCTGTAATTAATAACATGATATGGGGCTTTGAATATATTAATATATTTTCACTGGTACAGAAACATAATCCCTATAAAAGCTTATTCTCCAATATGGCTTATTTAATTACTGTCAGCAGGATGAAACTTGGAAAAACTTAAAAATATTACTTCCTTTTTCTTTAAGTAATACAGAAAAAGAGATTATTAGTTCCATGGTCCTGGCATTTTAGTTGCCTTCTACGAAGAATGTGACATAATGGATGAGTATTCTAATTTCCAACGAGTTTCAATGAAAAAAACTACAAGGGTAAGAAGTATCAACACAGAAACCAAGACAAAGTTTGTATACATATGCACACATTCATATGCATGCATACATCCACTGTATTGACATACCAAATTTATGAAAAAGTTTCTAACACACACATGTATTTGTCAACTTGAGTAAAGACAGAAAAAGATAAGCAATCTTGCACAAGCACAAAATGTAAACAGACTTCCATTTCCCACTAACAGGATGTTAGCAATTTTCTGGGAGGTTGTTTGTGTATCAACCTACTACATTCACAGTATGAAAAAAAGGACACTTTTCTTTTTTAATACAAGTGCCCTCAACAGTCAATAAAAGGAAGCACTATAAACTATTTTATAATAATGAGAAAGAAATTTAAAAGAACACCTGGTCACAGACCAGGGGGGCACTGACCCTCAAAACCCTCTCCAGGTAAATCAAACTTGCAAAAAAAAAAAAATCTGTCATACTCAATTTCAATGAAAGTCCCACAGAGAGACCAACAGGATCTATGAGTATAATATTCTTCCTGGCATTTACACCACACCACTATATGTAGTGGTATGGGAAAAATTCCAGGTGGATTTTTTTACGAAGGTCAAATTACAGCTACCAATGAGGTAATAGAATAAAATATAAGCTAGCTTAAAGATTAACCCTTTCACTGTCAGCATTTAAAAAAAAATTGATTTTCTTCTGAAATGATAATCTTTTTTTCATAGGTAATGACACCAAAAATGTGAAATTTGACAGAAATTTACAGAATAATGCAGTGCATAGTGGTCTGGGAACAATTTACATCAATGATTTCACCCAGTCCTATTTTAAGCCCACTCCATTGCTCAATTCAAACAAACTCTTAATTTTTTCACTAGTATGTCTCTCGGTTCTATCAAACGAGCACAAGAAACTGCCCTTTCAACTACATGTTTATAGAGGGGCCACAGATATGTCAGATCACTTTTTAGTTGTAGCTACACTGAGAGTAAAAGGTAGATGGGATAATACAAGGAGAATAGAAGCATCAGGGAAGAGAGACATGAAGGTTTATAAA